AGGGTCGCAAACGGGTACCCGTACCCGGCCGGGTATGGGTAGCCGGTGTATCGGGTAGGGTACGGGTATCGGGTACCCGGTTGCGACCTCTGGATTGAACCTCCCCCCCCACCCATCTCAGGGTTCACCCAGGAACAGGGAGACACTGAGATTGGAATGTCTGCACTCTGGTTGCAGAGGAGAGGCTGCCTCTCCTCTGCCGGGAGATGGATCGGTAACCGCCTGGACCTCTGTGCAATACAGGATGTCCCGTGGATCAGTTCACGTTGATGATGGAGCAGTAGCGGAGAGAGTGGAGAGTTTCCCACACCTCTGGCAGGGTGCTCATGACCGGCTCCGCTTTTACAGCAGAGGTCTCACTCCCGATCAGTCGGGCGGCATGATCTCATCGGTTGCATAACGCTGTGTGGAAGCTACCTGGTCTGTCGCTCTACACGAAGCTTCGGGTCTTCTCGGCCAAGGTCATGTCCTCCCTTCTACATGCTTTCGAAATGTGGACCCTTCTAATTTGAACATCTTCGCTGGTTAGAAACATTCAGGCTGGCGTTCCTACCATCTGTCCTGGGTTTAAGCAGGCTGGATTGTGTGAGGAGCTCACGAATCATTGAAAGATGTGGACAAAGTCCCATCGGTGAGCTCCTCCGGCAGGCAAGGCTGCGTTGGCTGGGTCATGTAGCCACCGCATGCCAGAGGTCGCAAACGGGTTTTGATTCCTTACCCGTACCCGTACCTGGCCGCACCAGGGTCGCAAACGGGTACCCGTACCCGTACCCATACCCGGCCAGGTACGGGTAGCCGTTCCCTACCCGTACCCTACCCGAAATGAGTGACAAACGGTGACTCACCAGTGACTCACGGCCTACCCGTACCCGTACCCGGCCGCACCAGGGTCGCAAACGGGTACCCGTACCTTACCCGATACCTGGCTACCCGTACCCGGCTGGGTATCGAGTAGGGTACGGGTATCGGGTACCCGATTGCGACCTCTGGGATGAAGCCATGTTGCAGGCGCGGGTGGGTTGATTCTAGGAACTTGAATTGTGAGAAGAGACAAGACGTTGGAAAATGAGTGACAAACGGTGGCTCACCAGTGACTCACGGCCTACCCGTACCCGTACCCGGCCAAACCAGGGTCGCAAACGGGTACCCGTACCTTACCCGATACCTGGCTACCCGTACCCGGCTGGGTATCGAGTAGGGTACGGGTATCGGGTACCCGATTGCGACCTCTGGGATGAAGCCACGTTGCAAGCGCGGGTGGGTTGATTCTAGGAACTTGAATTGTGAGAAGAGACAAGACGTTGGCAAATGAGTGACAAACGGTGGCTCACCAGTGACTCACGGCCTACCCGTACCCGTACCCGGCCGCACCAGGGTCGCAAACGGGTACCCGTACCCGGCCGGGTACAGGTAGCCGGGTATCGGGTAGGGTACGGGTATCGGGTACCCGGTTGCGACCTCTGCCGCATGCCCAAGCAGCTTCTGTTTGGCCGCATAGAGCGGGCTAAACGGGCACGACACGGGCTGGAGAAGAGATGGAGTGATGCGGTATCTACCCCTCCCCCCCACCGTGTACCTACCCCATTGGAACCTCATTTGCCAGTAAAAAATTATAATAATAGTTTTTTTACCCTTCTATCTGGCAACAAAACTGACACCTTTTTTACAAGGAGTCATGTTTGCCTAGACCACAATATCTGCAGTTGTAATGCAAACAAAAAACATAACTCTGATAATGTATGCACTGTCCTTGAAGTTGATTGGTCCACACCCGAGACAGCTTTCCTTAGAGCTTAGTCTCACATGGTGTTGGACCAGATGACGCCAAAAGGCTCTCAAGAAAGCTGTCTCGGATGTGGACCAATCAACTTCAAGGACAGTGCATACATTATCAGAGTTATGTTTTTTGTTTGCATTACAACTGCAGATATTGTGGTCTAGGCAAACATGACTCCTTGTAAAAAAGGTGTCAGTTTTGTTGCCAGATAAAAGGGTAAAAAAACAATTATCGTGTACCTACCGTTGCACCCCCACGTTGACTACCCCCCCCCACCCCCCCAGGTGTCCCAGCTGTTGGCGCTGCTGAGGCAGGGCGACTGCCAGCCCCGGCCTTGCTTCCGAGGCAACAAGTACGGCCGGTCGACAAGGTACGAGAGACTAGGATAGTGCCCCCCCCTCCACGCCTCCGTAACCCTTCCGTGTCCCCACCACCACCCCCACCACCATCCACCCTCCCCACCCACCACCCACCACCACCCACCACTCCCACCACCCCCACCCACCCACCACCCTCCATCACCATCACCACCCCTTACCACCACCACCACCCTCCACCCACCACCACCCACCACCCCCACCCACCACCCCCACCACCACCCCCACCACCCCCCCACCCCTCCCATCCACCACCCCCCCCATCCACCACCCCCCACCACCCACCCCCCCCCACCACCACCCCCCACCACCACCTCCCACCACATAGTCATTATCATCGGCATCATCATCACTATCATCATCGCCATCATCGTCATCATCATCACTATAATCATCGCCATCATCATCATCGTCGTCATCATCATCACTATCATCATCGCCATCATCATCACCATCATCGTCATCATCGTCATCATCACTATCATCATCGCCATCATCGTCATCATCGCTATCATCATCGCCATCATCGTCAGCGGCATCATCATCACTATCATCATCGCCATCGTCATCGTCAACATCATCACTATCATCGTCATCGTCATCATCATCACTATCATTATCGCCATCATCGTCGTCATCATCACTATCATCATCGCCATCATCGCTATCATCATCGCCATCATTTTCATCGGCATCATCATCACTATCATCATCGCCATCATCGTCATCGTCATCATCATCACTATCATCATCGCCATCATCGTCATCGGCATCATCATCACTATCATCATCGCCATCATCATCGTCATCATCACTATCATCATCGCCATCATCGTCATCGGCATCATCATCACTATCATTATTGCCATCATCGTCATCGGCATCATCATCACTATCATCATCGGCATCATCGTCATCGTCGTCATCATCATCACTATCATCATCGCTATCATCATCGCCATCATCATCACTATCATTATCGCCATCATCGTCATCGCCATCATCATCACTATCATTATTGCCATCATCGTCATCGCCATCATCATCACTATCATTATCGCCATCATAGTCATCATCGTCATCGCCATCATCATCGTCATTATCATCATCGTCGTCGTCGTCAATATCATCATCGTCATCATCAACGTCATCATCAACGTCATCAACGTCATCCTGATTATCATCACCCACGAGGTGGACGTACAAGGGCGGGTTTGTCTAGGTGCGGTGCGAAAGAAGTTCCACGCGCGCACGCACACGGCCACGCGAAGGCAAATGCCTCAGCGTTACTCACAAACCCACCCACAGGGGTCAGAGTTGGGGTGTTTTCCCAACCGGCCAGCACCCAACCCGCGACTTTACCGCCCCCTGCTGTTAAACTTAGCACATGTAATGTAGGGTGGTTCGTTTCGTTGGGTTGGATCGCGTAGAATAAATGTTGTGTGGTTAAACATCTGCAGAACGTGAAGAGCCAGTGGCATCTACATCTGTATAACGTGAAGAACCAGTGGCATCTGCATCTGTAGAACGTGAAGAACCAGTGACATCTACAGAACGTGAAGAACCAGTGGCATCTACATCTGCAAAACATGAAGAACCAGTGGCATCTACATCTACAGAACATGAAGAACCAGTGGCATCTACATCTGCAGAACATGAAAAACCAGTGGCATCTACATCTGCAGAACGGGAAGATACTCTTAGGTTTTTTCGGTAAAATCACGTAGGTACAAAATCAAAAAAATAATAAGTAATAGAAAGGGAAAAAACATTTATTTTATTTTTTTATTTCTATAATTATTTCGATTTTTATTATTTATTTTATTTTTTACCTACGTGACTTTACCGAAAAAACCTAAGAGTATGAATCCTTGCAGTCACGAAAGCTTCAAATCTAGAACGTGAAGAACCAGTAGCATCTACATCTGTAGAACGTGAAGAACCAGTGGCATCTACATCTATAGAACGTGAATAACCAGTGGCATCTACATCTGCAGAACGTGAAGAACCAGTGGCATCTACATCTGCAAAACATGAAGAACCAGTGGCATCTACATCTACAGAACATGAAGAACCAGTGGCATCTACATCTGCAGAACGTGAAGAACCAGTGGCATCTACATCTACAGAACATGAAGAACCAGTGGCATCTACATCTACAGA